AAGGATTGTGTTTCTGGGCCTTGGTCATTCATATTTATGCTTAGAATAAACTGTTTTAATTATTTCTGCAGAGTTCCATTGAAAAACACACAAACAAACACACACATGCACCCTGTTAAAAGGAAAAAAAAAATTTATTTGAGTGAAGTTTAATTGAGCAAATCTTGACATGATTCAAACCAGGCAGTTTCCCAGACCAACTTCTTTTTTTTTTTTTTCTTTTCTTTTCTTTGTTTTTTGGAGAGGTTTTTGCTATAGGGTACGTGCGCTCACCAGACAGACAGAGACAGGGAGACAAAAAGTGAGAAATCACCCCCCAGGGGGGATGGCCACACCACAATCCCTTCTCCTCTATTCCCCTCTCGGGATCTTGGGCACACACGCACACGTGCCCGGCATGAGTTTAAGCCACCGGGTCTGGGACTCGAACCGCGGTCGACTACATGGGAGTGCAGCGACATAGCCATTACACTAACTGCTGGTTCCAGAAAGTTAGAAATCACCCCCTAGGGGGGATGGCTATGCCACAATCCCTTCTCCATTCTCCTCTCGGGATCTTGGGCATGCATACACACATGCCCGGTGTGAGTTTAAACCACCAGGTCTGGGACTTGAACTGCAGTCGACTACGTGGGAGTTCAGTGACATAGCCATTATGCCAACTCCTGGTCCTGTCCCAGACCAACTTCTAAGCAACTTCGGATAACCTTGTGGTCAACTTGGTATTTCAAGTTCTGGAATGGGAAAGTGACGTACAAAAACAAAGTGAAGGAATGAAGTAGAGAAATAATTGGATTGGTACGGCTGGATAGTAGGCTGCGCAAACAGCGTAAAAGGTGGGCTTCCTTTAACTAACTGAAGTACGGTTAGTGTGACTAGCTGTAACTTAGCAACCAGCTCAGAAAAACTGTCTAACATGTTCAATTTTGGTGTATTCAAAAAAATGCGTGCAGAGTCCAGCAGCTGTTTTCCAACAAAATAGTTTAGTTTAACAACACACACACACACACACACACACACACACACACACACACAGATGGTAGATTAAAAATGGTTATTCTTTGCCATTTGTCTCATTAAAAAGTGGAGTATTATAACCGAGTCTGGTTTTGTTAGTTTTTTGTTTTTGTTTTTTCCCGTAGGGTGTGTGTACTCACCAGAGAGAGATAGAAAGACAGAGAGGGAAAGTGATAAATCATCCCCCAGGAGGGGTGTTAACACTGAGGAAGAAGACGGGACCCTAAAATTAAAGTTAGGATATAGACCCAAAAAGGAATCATAAAATGGCTAAGTTTTAAGATGAAAACACAGCTGCTTGGCTCTGGAAAGATGGCTGTAATAGTGGCTCTGAGATTAACCTAGGCTGCATGACCTAAAACAAACACTTTTTTCCAAGCCTTATCACAACCTAGGAAGAAGATAAGATACTGATTTTTATGGCCCCAAATTTTTAGACAAAGAATTTCCTGACCTTCTTGTGACTCCAAAATGAGGAGGATAACCAGACCCATCTAGCAAGTGTCCTCCACCATGAGGGAAATACATGCACAAGTCCCACTTGAAAACTAGTCCAAACAAAGTCCCTCTGACCCAGGTAAAAAACCCCTGTCCCAGCTTCTCCTCAGCAACCCATTTTCCAGGACTCACTCCCTGCTTGGGAGCTCTATTCTTCCTTCTCTCTCTTAATAAACTCTCCCTTCCCTGTGTGAACACCTCTAATTTGTCATGAGCATGAGACAAGAACCAGTGTTCAGCTGTGGGTGCTGTTTCTGATCACCCTTGCACTCCCACATCCCTGCATCCCTGTGTCAGTAGCAGTATTCCTTTTTCTTCATTCTTCTCTTGGGATTTTGGGCAAGCACACACACACATGTGATTTTTCAAGGCACTGGGACCAGGACTCAAGTTGTAGTTGGCTGTATGGGGAGTCCAGTGCCTTAACCATCACACCACCTGTCATCTTCAATAATCCACTCTTTCAATATAAGCTAAATTAGTGACTTGACAAAGAAAATGTGAAAGAAGTGACACTCTTAGACTTCAGAAACTGGATCATTACATGCTGTGCATTTTTTGCTATGCTTCTTGAAATGCTTGCTCTGGGGAAAGCTAACTGCCGTGTAAGAAATATGACCATTCTGAGACCACCATGATAGAAGGAAGTTGAAGCCTCCCAAAGAGAGATGTTGTGAAGATAAAGAGAAACCAGAACACCTCCATCATTCTAGCCATCCCAGATCAAGAACCAGACATGTGAATGAAGAAAGCATCAGGACCAGCAGATGTGACAGAAGAACCAAGGAAAGCATTGCCATCCAGAGTGAAGCCCCTAGACATATGACCCTAGTCAAAACGGCAACTGACCAAGACAGGCTTAAGGTTACCCTGCACTTGACTAAACTTCAGACCAGACTCTTTTTGACTCTAGGACACTGTGGTTTAGACCATTTATTTTAGAAAACGTGCAGTTTTTTGTGTACTCCTTTGGGACGTCACTCTCTTACCCTTTTTCCAATTCTATAACTCATGACCGCCTACCTCAAGGACCTCGTAGGTATTCTTTTTCGGTGTAACTGTAAGAATAAAGAGAATTTTTCCCTTTATTCTCTGAAGGCTCTAATCTTTAAGTCTAGTGAGATAAAATTGCAATAGACAAATTAGCAGGAGAAAAAGCTCACACTCTTTTAATGTGCAGGCACACACAAGTTACAAAAAATACTTAACTCAGAGAAGGACCAGATGACTGAGGCTTAAATATTCTTTTTTCATAGGGGAGTGGAAAGTGGAGAAAAGTAGGAGATTTTTAGAAGAATAATAAATTATTTTTAAGAAAGACAAATAGGGCATGAAGAATTGAAGCCTGGGACAAAGTTGTCTAGGCTCTGAGTGTTATGTGAATATTGATCTTCTTTCTTGTAATTTAATGTTCTTGGATGAGACTATAAGGAAGGGGCCCAAGGCAACTGCATCCATTGTAGAGGAACTTTTCTTAATCAGACAAGTAAACAGGAGAGACAGAGAGATGAGACACAGGGTGGAGGTAGTGGTAGAGGGTTGGAGTGACAGGGCTGGTGGTTGGGCAGGAAACACTGGTTCTGAGGCTGCTTCTTTATTTCAAAATACCCAGCCTGTTTAGAGCTAGTAGGTGATGTGGTGATTAAAGTGCTGGATTCCCACATGGAAGCACCAGATATGTATGTTTGCATGCCTAAAATCCAGAGAGGAGACTAGAGGAGAAAGGACTACAGCATGGCCATCCCCTGTGGTGGTTATTTCTCATTTCCCATCTTTCTGTCTTTCTCTGTTTCTCTCCAGCACACATACCCTATGGCAAAAACCTAAACAAAAATTAAATTACATTTTAAAAAGTACTCAGTATGTCAAAACGGGGTATTCTTTCAGGGTCCCAATATAATCATCAAGAAATATAGCACCCCTGTTTCCTAGTCTCTGTCAGAGTGTTGGAGCCTAACTTAACAAATATAGACAGCCTAATCATTGACCAATCTCCATCTAACATCCTCTAATACTTGTCCACCAACTCACTCTAGTGCTTAAAATCTTTTCCACTTTTTGTTTCAGAGGAGTTCAGTTCAGTCTGTCTCCTCATTACAATAATCTTGAATCGTACCTGTCTAACTGTGGTGAAGTTTTTCTTACACACAGCCCACTGAGCCATTTGTTTCTATCTGAAAGCTTGTTCTTCAGGAAGCAGAAAGAGTTATTCCCATGGTGTCCATCCCTAAATCCTGAACCACAAAAGCATGTGATGCTGCTTTTGTCCTTAGAGTGCTAATGTAGTTTCTTAAGCAGCAGCGACTAACTGGAATCTCTCCCTGTATGTATACATACATTTGTGTGTGTACACAAACCTATTTACTTCTAATGTATATAGTTAGATGTTATAAAGATATCAATACTTATAGAATGTATAGTTATCTACTGAAGTTCCTAAGCCTCAATTTTACCTGCATTCAGTGGGGACTAAAAGGGTAAAAGTCCACGTTACTAAATGGGTTTGGAACAGGTACCAGAACTTCAAGACATTTGGTTACATATAAGAACATGCACTCCTTTGCTTTGCTTCCAGTAGGTGTCTGATCACTGAAACTAAAAGATTATTAGGGGCATAATAATTATTTTTTATGTAATAAAATAATTGTGTTTGTGTAGCTAGTTCTATATTCCCAGATCCTGGGGTTTTTTGTTTGTTGTTTTGTTGTTGTTTTGTTTTATTTCCTAAGGTTTTGCCATAGGGTGTATGCCCTTGCTGGAGAGAAACAGAAAGATAGTGAGAGCAAAAGTAAGAAATTACCCATCAGAGGGGAAGGCCATGCTACAATCCCTTCTCCTCCATTCTCCTCTCAGGATTTTGTGCATATGTACACACAAACCCAGCATGATTCTTAAGCAACTGGATCTGGAACTTGAACCATGGTCAGCCATGCCACTCACTGGCTCCATTTTAAAGTCAGTTTAGGGGGCCAGCAGGTGGAGTATTGCTTAAGATGCTGGACTCCCAAGTGGCTGACTGCAATTCAAATCCCAGACCCTGTAGCTTGAAACTCATGCCAGGCACATATGCATGTATGCTCAAAATTCCAAGAAGAAAACGGAGGAGAAGGGATTGCGACATGGCCATATACCCTAGGGGGTGATTTCTTGCTTTCTGTCTCTGTCTCTCTGGAGAGCACACACACCCTATAACAAAAACCCCTCTCTCTAAAGAAAAAAAAAAAAAAAGTCTATTTAAGGAGTCAGACTGCAGACTGTGGCATACTGGTAAAACATAGTACTCTGTGAGCCAATCCCACATGGAAAGGTTCTCATTTCGTCTAGAGACTTCCCACAGTACACTTTACATACACATGCCCACAACCGAGGGCTTGCTGTGGGCAAATTGATTGCAGCATCAAGACTCTGTTGAGATGTTCTTGCTCTCTCTTACTGTCCCTTTCACTCATAGAGGAAATAAATAATATTTAAAAAGATCAGCTTGGATACTTACCTGGCAGGGGAGATACCATGATCACAAAGGTGATTTCCCCAGGGTGAAGCTCATCCATTGCACTCTGGGTGTGCTGATCCCGCAATTTCCTCAAATGCAGGAAATTCGACCACGTAATTTGTGGTAGTGGGGGACTGCATACGTGCTTTCCCCTGTTAAAAAAAAAAAAAAAAAAAAAGAAAAAAAGTCCAGCTTGGAATGATTGCAATTAAGATGCTTTATAATCTATTGAAACGATAAAACAGGAGAAAAAGCTCACACTCTTTTAATGTGCAGGCACACACAAGTTACAAAAAATACTTAACTCAGAGAAGGACCAGATGACTGAGGCTTAAATATTCTTTTTTCATAGGGGAGTGGAAAGTGGAGAAAAGTAGGAGATTTTTAGAAGAATAATAAATTATTTTTAAGAAAGACAAATAGGGCATGAAGAATTGAAGCCTGGGACAAAGTTGTCTAGGCTCTGAGTGTTATGTGAATATTGATCTTCTTTCTTGTAATTTAATGTTCTTGGATGAGACTATAAGGAAGGGGCCCAAGGCAACTGCATCCATTGTAGAGGAACTTTTCTTAATCAGACAAGTAAACAGGAGAGACAGAGAGATGAGACACAGGGTGGAGGTAGTGGTAGAGGGTTGGAGTGACAGGGCTGGTGGTTGGGCAGGAAACACTGGTTCTGAGGCTGCTTCTTTATTTCAAAATACCCAGCCTGTTTAGAGCTAGTAGGTGATGTGGTGATTAAAGTGCTGGATTCCCACATGGAAGCACCAGATATGTATGTGTGCATGCCTAAAATCCAGAGAGGAGACTAGAGGAGAAAGGACTGCAGCATGGCCATCCCCTGTGGTGGTTATTTCTCATTTCCCATCTTTCTGTCTTTCTCTGTTTCTCTCCAGCACACATACCCTATGGCAAAAACCTAAACAAAAATTAAATTACATTTTAAAAAGTACTCAGTATGTCAAAACGGGGTATTCTTTCAGGGTCCCAATATAATCATCAAGAAATATAGCACCCCTGTTTCCTAGTCTCTGTCAGAGTGTTGGAGCCTAACTTAACAAATATAGACAGCCTAATCATTGACCAATCTCCATCTAACATCCTCTAATACTTGTCCACCAACTCACTCTAGTGCTTAAAATCTTTTCCACTTTTTGTTTCAGAGGAGTTCAGTTCAGTCTGTCTCCTCATTACAATAATCTTGAATCGTACCTGTCTAACTGTGGTGAAGTTTTTCTTACACACAGCCCACTGAGCCATTTGTTTCTATCTGAAAGCTTGTTCTTCAGGAAGCAGAAAGAGTTATTCCCATGGTGTCCATCCCTAAATCCTGAACCACAAAAGCATGTGATGCTGCTTTTGTCCTTAGAGTGCTAATGTAGTTTCTTAAGCAGCAGCGACTAACTGGAATCTCTCCCTGTATGTATACATACATTTGTGTGTGTACACAAACCTATTTACTTCTAATGTATATAGTTAGATGTTATAAAGATATCAATACTTATAGAATGTATAGTTATCTACTGAAGTTCCTAAGCCTCAATTTTACCTGCATTCAGTGGGGACTAAAAGGGTAAAAGTCCACGTTACTAAATGGGTTTGGAACAGGTACCAGAACTTCAAGACATTTGGTTACATATAAGAACATGCACTCCTTTGCTTTGCTTCCAGTAGGTGTCTGATCACTGAAACTAAAAGATTATTAGGGGCATAATAATTATTTTTTATGTAATAAAATAATTGTGTTTGTGTAGCTAGTTCTATATTCCCAGATCCTGGGGTTTTTTGTTTGTTGTTTTGTTGTTGTTTTGTTTTATTTCCTAAGGTTTTGCCATAGGGTGTATGCCCTTGCTGGAGAGAAACAGAAAGATAGTGAGAGCAAAAGTAAGAAATTACCCATCAGAGGGGAAGGCCATGCTACAATCCCTTCTCCTCCATTCTCCTCTCAGGATTTTGTGCATATGTACACACAAACCCAGCATGATTCTTAAGCAACTGGATCTGGAACTTGAACCATGGTCAGCCATGCCACTCACTGGCTCCATTTTAAAGTCAGTTTAGGGGGCCAGCAGGTGGAGTATTGCTTAAGATGCTGGACTCCCAAGTGGCTGACTGCAATTCAAATCCCAGACCCTGTAGCTTGAAACTCATGCCAGGCACATATGCATGTATGCTCAAAATTCCAAGAAGAAAACGGAGGAGAAGGGATTGCGACATGGCCATATACCCTAGGGGGTGATTTCTTGCTTTCTGTCTCTGTCTCTCTGGAGAGCACACACACCCTATAACAAAAACCCCTCTCTCTAAAGAAAAAAAAAAAAAAGTCTATTTAAGGAGTCAGACTGCAGACTGTGGCATACTGGTAAAACATAGTACTCTGTGAGCCAATCCCACATGGAAAGGTTCTCATTTCGTCTAGAGACTTCCCACAGTACACTTTACATACACATGCCCACAACCGAGGGCTTGCTGTGGGCAAATTGATTGCAGCATCAAGACTCTGTTGAGATGTTCTTGCTCTCTCTTACTGTCCCTTTCACTCATAGAGGAAATAAATAATATTTAAAAAGATCAGCTTGGATACTTACCTGGCAGGGGAGATACCATGATCACAAAGGTGATTTCCCCAGGGTGAAGCTCATCCATTGCACTCTGGGTGTGCTGATCCCGCAATTTCCTCAAATGCAGGAAATTCGACCACGTAATTTGTGGTAGTGGGGGACTGCATACGTGCTTTCCCCTGTTAAAAAAAAAAAAAAAAAGAAAAGAAAAAAAGATCAGCTTGGAATGATTGCAATTAAGATGCTTTATAATCTATTGAAACGATAAAAGAGCATGAAAATGAAGGGTAAACAAAAACAAAATACTTAAAAAATTTTTAAAAAGTATTTGCCAGAAGACTTACAAACTCGCCAAAGAGAGATGGGGGTAGGGAGGAATCACCATCTGGGAGGAAGGGTCATGCTGAAATTTTTTCACAGCCATTTCTGCCTCCCTTTTGAGGATTCTGGGCATGCACGCACACATACCTGGCATGTTTCTCAAGCCACCAGAACCAGGATGAAAACTGCACAGGTGGCCATAGGAGATCTACCTGCCTTACCCCCCATGTTGCCACCTGATCCCCAAATAATCTTTTGCAAAATACCTGGCTTGAAATTGCAATTTTTGAAAATAAAGGGCAATCAAATTTCAAATAGTTGGTGCAAAAGAATAAATCATTTTTAAAAGGTATCATGAAATTTTCAAGAAAAATATAACTCATATTGAAATCATGTTAGTGTATTTTGAAGTTAAATGTACATTTTTGTGAAGTTAAATGTAAATTTTAGTATATTTTGAAGTTAAATGTAAATTTTTTGATAGGGAGGAAAACCCTAGAATATCTCTTAACATAAAACCAACCTGTTTTCACCATAGTGGCCAGTTACTTCAAAGAAATTTGTTTGTATGGAATGAGTTTTAGTATTCAAGCTTGTCAACCAATCCCTCCAGAGGATGGACCCAAAAGTCTCTTTAATGTCTAACTACATAATACACTACTAAAGGAAAACAAACTTTCAAAATCCTTAATTTAAATATAAGCTTAAAGTATTTTTCCTCAAGACATTATTGCTAAATCTGCTTACTTGTTATTGAAAATTATAATATACCATGTATACTTCTTTAAAAGTATGGCTCTTATTGGTTTATTTATTTATTATATACTTCATGTTTACATTATACCTATTAATTTTCCAGGTCATAACATACAAGCTTCTTTTTTCTTTTTTTTTCTTTTCTTTTTTTCTTTTTTTTTTAGAGATGTTGTTTGCCATAGGGTATGTGTGCTCACCAGAGTTACAGAGAGAGACAGAGAGACAGAAAGCAAGAAATCACTCTCCAGTGGGAATGGCCACACAGCAATCCCCTCTCCTCCATTCTCCTTTTAGGATTTTGGGCATGCACACACACACACCTGGTGTGAGTTTTAAGACAATAGTTTTGGGACTTGAATGTGGCCAGCCTCATGGGAGTCCAACACCTTAACCACTATTCCACCTGCCCCAAAAGCTGCTGTTTTAAAATGTTTTCTGAAAATATGTTGACTCTAGTATATGAATGTTCCACACAGCTCTTTTGAGAGAGCAAGTATTATGAAAATAATATTCCATATGTTACCCGCCCTATACCATACACCAACCCTTCCTGAACAGTGTCATTTTTTTTTAGACAGTAGGACACGTACCCATGGACAAGATGAGGACCCCAGTGAAGAAATAGTCTGAACCTGGGGGATCAGGCTGTCATAATAGCCTTAAGAAGACCCAAACCTCACTCAAATTGTCATTTACATGCTAAATAACACACCTGCCGGTGCCATGACAGTTTATACTCACAGGAAAAACTACTGGAAATATCTTTAAAAAGGGTAGGTTTTGAAATTCCAGGAAGTTCCCCTTTTCCTAGGAAAAACTCCCCTCTATTACCTTATCCCTTCCCCTCATTATCCCATTTTCTGTATCTGAAGACTCCCCAGCTGAAGACAAGAGTGAAAATGATTTATAAGCTTGTCTTATGTTTATCCATTCCTCAGCCATTGAAAATAGTTTGTGCCATTGACACTCAGATTGGATCCTGCCATCTTAACTACCACACCACTCCCTGCCTTGTAAAAATACATTTTAAAACAAATGTATATTGTTTGTCTTTCTTTCTTTTTTTTAATTTTTTTTATTTTTTTGAATTGGGTGGGTATTCTCATTTCCCTGAATTCAAACTTCCCTAAATGTAAGTCTAATTTCTTGCTCCATTAGGTATGAGTGGAAGCTGTGAAGTCCTGGGTCTAGGAGGATATGAACAAAGTTACTTTGTGCATTTTTACAGTGAACCAACATTTACGATGTCAGAAAAGGGAGGTCCAGGGATAGCACCGAATCACCAGTTGAGAGAGAATTGAGCACGAGAGAAGTAAATCACACGGAAAGCAAAATACAATAAAAACCTGTTCCAGAGATTAAGGCACTTTCCCAGGAAAAGAGACTTAGGGCCTGTGTGGCCATTTATGAGAATGAAGTATGGGTGTGAGCTAATGATTGCTAGACTGGGGGGATGAGGGGGGTGGGGAGAAGGAGGTCCACTGGGAATGATGAAGAAAGAAAACTAGCAATATCCT